CCTTAAAACCAAGATTAAGTTTAATGACACTAGTTTTTGCAATGTCACTTTTTAAATGAAAATCTTACTTTAATGTTTGAACAAAAAGTTCAAAAGTGCTTCTTCACATTTGCTGTGTTCTGCTACAAGGCCACAAACTGGTTCTTTTTGTTTTTATAAATTGACTTTTCTAATTTCTACAAATATCAGCCTGATAAATATGGACTTAATACACAATGAAACAAGATAATCATGCTACGAAATACGTCTGACACAATGTTTTTAAGAAAAGTAGTGTTTTTAAAATTTAACTAAACCATGATAACAGATTCTTTCTTTTGACGGACCTACAGAAATGCATGTTGATTAGTAAGTTTCAGGCATAGTGCAACCATGCAATGATTGAGAAAGCTAATATTTGGTGTAATATTTGTTCAGTCTCACCCTCACGCTGATCCAGGCATTAGCTTTTACTAAAAGGAAATATCATGGAAGTCGAAATATCAAACTTTGTTCAAAAATTGTTCTCTGACCCGAAAATAATCAGATAATGAAATGTTCAAAAACTACAATTAGATATTCTCCTGCTTAGTATGTGTGTAATTAGTTGGGCTTAAATCTTTGGATGTATTTTGTCACACCATAGCGATGCAAAGTACCACACTTTTGTAAATCCTGTGGACTAACTTTAAAACATATTCTTTATACAGCAATCACATGTGTCCAAAACAACCATGTAAGATTCAACAGACCAAATCACTAGGAAAAGCACTGTGTATAATAATTCATACACAAAAGTTAACAAATGATGGTTTTATTACTATTCAGACAGCTAGTAGATGATACTGTTTCACATTTTGTATGTTGGACCGTATGTGTTTTAGGTGAAGACTTTTCTTTTAGAGCAGCCAATATTCAGTGTTTACCTGCAGATAACATTTCACGGAGTAAAATCTAGAGATCAACTTGCTAAAAAGTAAATACAACATACAGAAAATTGATCAGTTTTGAATGTTTGTAATTGACATTTTATATACTAGTCGATTACGCCGTTTACATCATGCTTCTTTTTGTTTTTGTACAGTATGCAAAAACTATAGTCTCCGACCGTGGTCAAACATATAGGAATTTATGAAAAACATGAACAGATATTTCTACACAAGATATTTCTTTCAGAACATCTTTCAGCTATGTCTACAAGACATCGACATGAAAAATGACTATTGCTGTTTTTTTTTTTTTTGTTACCTATAAAACTATTATACTTCAAACTCGTCTAGAACATTCATAGATACGCAGGTATTTTGTGTATGTGGCTAAACAACGGTTAGGCTAATGAATTTAGTTGAAAAGTGGTATTTTAATGTGTAGGCATCAGTCTTTTAGGCCTGATCCAGAAAACAGGCATTGTGTTTTATGTCTTAACCCGTTTAATCCCACCGGTCACAATTGTGACCGCAGCTTTTTTCCTTATTTCTGGAAGCTCTAAAAAATGTTGTTATTGACTTTGGGCAAGAAATTCAACTTTTAAATGACAAATTAGACTGTCTTGATTAAAATCAATTAATGTCATGTGACTAGTGTGAAAGGTCACATGACCAGATCAGTTCACTTCCTGCTTGCACATCTAGAAGAAGATTTCTTCCTCAGACTACTAAAATAAGTAGTATATAAAACATCTTAATTTACAGATAGAACTATCAAATTTTGTGCATATATTCTTTAAAGGCTCTACTACTGATATATTTTGAGAATTATACTCCTGAATTTATATTTTGCTCGTAAGACTTGTAAATTTGTTTACGGTCACAATTGTGGCCGGTAGTATAACAGTATAACAGTGCTTCAATTGAAAACACAGGTATTTGCAGATATTGCCGGGTATTGGCAATCCTACACTGAATATGCCACATCTGTGAGGAGGATGGATGATCTCGGCGAAGGAGAAGTGCTCACTAACACAGATTTAGACAGATTTGTGAACAATATTTGAGAGAAATAGGCCTTTTGTGTACATAGAAATGGTCTAGATCTTTGAGTTCAGCTCATGAAAAATGGGGGCAAAAACAAAAGTGTTGCATTTATAATTTTGTTTAGTGCAGTTATCAGTATCCCAGAAACGTTCAATGTGTTGGACCTTCTCGACGTGCATGACCCCCCCCTCCCCCCCACCCCACACCCCCAAATCGAAAGTAACTGTGATAG